GTATATATATATATATATATATATGTTTATATATTAGCACATGTTCTCCACATCAGTGGTTCTTCCTTTTTGGAAGTCATAAACCCTTCAGAGAATCTGATAAAAAAAATAGTACCCCCAGAAAAATGCAAATATTTTTATGTACAACATTTTACATTCATTCTCTGGAAGTTCACAGAATCTCTGCAGCCCATATTTACACTTGAGGATAAAAATCTCAGCTCATCAAGAAAAAAATAAAGCAAAAATATAAATATGCAAATTGATTACCTTTGCAGTTAGGTGGTAGACCACTCCATGCTCCTTGGTCATCTTTCACAATACACTGAACAGAGCTCTCTCCCATCAGGGTGAAGCCTTCAGTACATTCATACGTTACAGATTGTCCATATACATAATTGTGCTGTTCCTCTCGAATTTTTCCATTGTTAATTTTTGGTGGTTCTGGACAAAATATTTCTTAAAAAAAAGTATTCCAATACCTTTTAAATAAATAAAACTGGCAAGATATTTTACAAATAAGCAAGACTAAACCATGTTGAAGACTTCATTTAAAAAAATATATATATACACCATATTTTTAAATTTAGCATTACCAACCAGGGATGCTTATAAATGCCTACTAAGTACTAAGGGTTTAGAGTTTGGAATGTAAGAAGCTGTGGAACATGAGGCCAATTTATAGAAATAATAAGATTAAGCATATATTTACAATAACATTTACACGTTACATATAGCAGGGCAGTCAGAGAAGACTTTAGAGAGTAACAGGAACTTGAGTTTAAACTTAGATATACCCTTTTTGTACGTCATTATTGTTGTTTGTTAGGTGCCATTGAGTCAATTCTGACTCACAACCACCCAGTGTGACAGAGTATAACTGCCCCATAGGGTTTTCATGGCTATAATCTTTACAGAAGCAGGTCATCAGGTCTTTCTCCTGCACAGCAGTTGGGTGGGTACGAACCACCAACCTTTCAGTTAGCAGCCTACCACTTAATCTTTGCACCAGTAGGACTCCTTTCTTCTAAGATAGTGCAGTGAAAAAGGCATTTCTCTTCATTCCAGGGGGAATAATGCCAAATGAAAAGAGTTGGGAACTCAGGTGGCATAATTGGGTGATACGAATTAATCATTTTTAATAGAGCAGAGGATCTTGAATGTCAGTATTAAAGTAAATATTTTTACTCTAGAGTAAAAAATTTTAAGCATATATTGACTCACAGAGTCTTATATTCAAAGCAAATTTTATTGAGGAGCCCAATTTGTAAAATAAATATCAGTGGAACTGTTCTCGTTATCTTGTAAATAGAGGATCTCCTTGGCAGTTACCCTGATAAAAAGATTCAATGGTTCCACATTCTCTAGAGCTGTGAAGTTGCTTTGTTTTGTTTTTTAGCAGGAAAGCAATGTAATCACATATATACGTCAAATTATATTACACCAAATGCACATAAGTACCCAGAGAATACAAGCGAATTTATAAATTACTCCTGGGTCATGGATAAAAGCAAGGAGCAAGAACAAGCTAATCTGCTTTACACCAGGTTAGGGTGTACGGTTACTACGCACATCACCATCAGTTCAGTTCAAACATTTTGTGAGCACCTAATACACACCCAGAATTGTTCATAAGCAGAAGTGCAAACTGAATATAGTTCCTATGTCTTAAAATCTGGTGAGGAAAAGAGTCAAAGAGAGCATTCTAGCACAAACTGGTGAGGAGTATGATAGAAGTATGCACAGTGGTGTGGAAAGAGAGAGGAAAGATAGTTAATCCATCCTGGGGAGCCAGGGAAATCTTCTGGAAGGACTACACTAAAGCAGACTTTTGATGAGGAAAATACAGCCAAGAAAAGAAATATCTGAAGGACATTCTGAGCAGAGGGAGCAGCATAAGGAATGATGTGGGCACAAGAAGGAGCATAAGATACATGGAAAACTACAAGCACTTTGTGTTGGTAAAGCATAAAGTATGAGGGCAAGACATGAACATGGAGAGACAGGTAGACCATGACTAGCCTGGACATTTTACTAAGGAGTTTGGACTTTATAAGTGATGGGAAGACACTAATAAGATTTAAGATGGAAAGAGGCAAACTGCAATTATATTTCAGATAGATCACTCTGGGGAGAGTATGGATGAAACATTAATGGAGAGCAAGAATGGAGGCAGGAGGCTATTGCAATCATCACCAGTGGAATCAGCTCAATGGCAATGGGTTTGGTTTTTGGGTTTGGTATACCCCTTCTGGGTTACCTGGGTGGTGGAAACTGTTAGGCGCTTGACGACTAGCTGAAAGGCTGGCAGTTCTGACACCTCAGAGTCACCTCAGAAAACAGGTCTAGCGATCTGCTTCTGAAAGGTCACAGCCTTGAAAACCTTATGGAGCAGTTCTACTCTGGACATATGGTGTTGCCATGCGTCAGAATCTACTTGGCAGCAACTAACAACAACAACAACACACCCCTTCTAGGGCCTGACAGGGTCCCTTCCCCTCATCTACACTCATGAGGGTGGTTTACACTGGTGAAGTGCACACCTACAGGTCCAAAGGACAACAGAGTGGGGATAAGGGTCATGGTGGATGTGGCTTGGATGTGCAAGCTGGTCCACTGAAACGTACCAGTGAGGGGCCCCTCACGGTGTGGAAAGGAGGGGGCTATCTGAGTGGAGGTGGGTTTTAGGCCAGGGACCTCCATTTATACTCTTGCCTTGGGCCTTGAAAATATTAGGCCTGGCCCTGATTACAATAGTACAGATGAGGGATGAGAACTATATTAGAGGTCATAGAGATGAAGGGCAAAACCCAGGTTTGGGAACTATATTAAGAAGGTAAAGTAAAATGATCTAGTGATTAGATGGGGGGATTAGGGTGGGGGGAGTCTAAGGTAAAGAGAAGGGTCTGGGATGACAGCCAATATGTGGCAAGGATGAATTCCAGGTTAGCAGGTACCAACAGTCACAGAATCACATTTAAATAAGAAAACACTGGCCAAGAAATACGGAAACAGACTTCCTGACAGGCCAGTTCCAACAGTGAGGCTTAATTCAGAGGTGAACAAGTATTACCCCTGTTTGATGTATAACTAAAGATAATTCCTGAATGTGTCCACTGTTCTTCCTGTCTCCAACATGAGTTAACATGCATGGACTTCAGTGCACCCCCAGTGTGTCTGCAGGCCAGAGCTGCACACTGAAGCAGCTAATTGTTAAGAATTTATTGTCTACATGGGGTCACTAAGAGTCGTGATTGACTTGATGGCACCTAACAGCAACAACAAAGGAAGCGGGACTTCATAGGGATAGTTGAAGACACTGAGGTTGCGTGAAAAGTGTGGATTCTGTCTTGCGGGGTGCAGAGGTCAGTGGTTGCTGAGTTGGAGAGATAAACGAGTCAGAGGAAAATATGAACATCAGGACATTCACCATGACAGGGAGTAGGACTGGGTCTAACCATGGGCAAGTGCAAAGAAAATGTGGCTTTGCGATGCAAAAGCTCTTCTACGCTAAAATGGATCCTTGGCATCCACATTTCTGTGAAATTCGGGACAGCGTGTGCTTGTGAAAATACTGACTTCAGACTGGGAGACTCCTTATCCGGACTCTGTGACACGTGGCCTGTGGTAGAATAAGATAAGGTCTGGCTCCAGCCTGCTGCTTGTCTTTAGGACTATTTACAACATCCCTTGCCGGGTGGTGGCAATGGGAAAGGTGGTGGTGGTAGTGATGACGACAATTTTAAAATACTAATAATGACAAGACAAAGGAGAAGTAGCTATAGAAGGCGGGGGGTTGGTGCACAAGGTAGGTGTGATAGGAATAAAATCCTTGATTGCAAGGGCCTCCTTTGTTTCCTATCAGCTGATTCCACACATTTCCTACCATAGAGAATCAATAAATGCTTGTTAATTACACTATATCTACCCTAGTTTCTGCTACTAATAACAGCCAAAACTTCAACTTAGCAATGACTGTGACAACAGGGTTTCCCGTAGTCACTTGTAGAAGTGTAAGTTAGCTGTAGAAAGAGAGAAGTACAGCAGAAATAAAGCATGCATTTTAACAATGCTGTGTATATGTTATTCTCCATTTTTATGAGACATGTATCTAATGGACATAACTTTGGCTCGATACATGCATTTATGATATTACTTCTGTGTCCCTTCTCCCTGTGAGAAGGTAAGATACTCAAGTGCAGAAACCGTATTTCTTCTTTATTATATGACATTATTCCTCTAATGAAAAAATATATCACACTTTAAAACACTTTTAAATAATTATCTCAGGTAATCATTATCATCGTAAAAGGAGGCATGTAGGCAACACTGGTCTTAGAGAACACGATGGGTGTGAAGTCAAGAGACCTGGATTAAATGCCTTCGCTTACCTCTTGTTATGGGATATAGAATCCAGTCCTATAAACCCACTGATCCATAGTATTTCACCCATAAAATTGTGAACAAAAATACCATATATATCTTACTTGACTATTAAAAGTAGTGGCTAGATAATAAATGATCAATACCATACAATATAAAAGTAAGTTTGTTTTTAATCCTTATTCTATAGTTTAGGTTCTATAGCTCAGAAAGGCTTGATGATTTATCATTGCAGCTAATAAATGATGGGGCTTCCCTAAAAATGGCCTTAAAATCAGCTAAAACAGTCATGTTGAAAGGTGAGGAGACTACAATATATACTGTGGATAATTCTAAATAAGCAGAAAGTAATTTGTCTTTCACTATTTAGCTCCACAACCTGAGAGCTTACGTTACTTAGTCTTACCCTGGCACTCTGGCAGCGGGGCACTCCACCCAACACCGTCTCCCACAAGGGAGCAGAAACTAAAAGTCGCACCAACTAATTTGTACCTAAAGCAACAGGGGGAGAAAAAGAGAAAAAAAAAAAAAAGGTTTCATTTGCACATATTTGTCTTCCCTCGATCTCTTCAGAACATCATCCTAAAATATTTCCTACACCAGTGGAGGGAAACCAAACGATAGGTGATAAATGCTTACACGGTAGTTAAAAGGAAAATAAATTTAAAAAGGTGGCATCCAAAGGATAAAAAGCATACAACATGTAAAACATTTTTGTTTGTATTGGGCACATGTTAAAACATTTTTCATGAAAGTGTTTCAAAACACATTTGTATGATACAGATGCTTGCATTTTTATATAGCTGAGTTCTGAAAGATCAATACAACCCTAAGAGAATAACAGAATCGACTTATACTTAAAGGGTGCAAAGCTTTCTCCAGCTTCTTTATTAATAACTCAAAATTCTGTGTGTAGTACAGGAGACAAATGATACAGATATATTCATTTTATAAAAAAAACAGGGACATAGAGAGAGAGAATAGAATAGCACAACTCAGTTTGCAGATACTGAAAGAGAAAATGAATGCAAAGTTTTCAGCAGCATCTGAGACACTGCTGATATTTAGTAAGTGAGCTTCTTTCCTGACTCAGAGAACTTAGAAAACACTTTAGGTTAGAACGATTATTAGTGCACTAGGAATAAATGTTTTTAACCCAGGACATTTTATAACAGTTGATATACAGAAAAATCTATATGCAAATTCATTCTTTAGTAAACTTAAACATTGATTTCATGTTTAACTCTTAAAGGTCATAATTTCTGCAAGCATTGTCAACCAATCTCTCGTTAAATTTTTTCCTTTGCTAATTACTCAACATTTGAAATTTTATATTGAATCATGTATGCATTGGAAGTTAAGAATTTAGAAGGTTTGGTGGTATAAGAAATCTCTCTTTCCTGTCTTACTTTTCTCAGTGTAATTGTGATGAGGTCATGATGACAGATCTTTGAGGACCGGGGTGCCTTTAGTTCCTACCAACTCGTAAACACTGGCTACGTGTTAAATCCCAATGGGTTTTTCCTATATTAAATACAGAGTGTTTAGTATGCCACAACTTACCCTGTGTTACATGAGAAGAAGATGAGTGAGCCAAATAATACGCCAGCTGTTATATTGACATGACCATTTTTTATTTCTCCAGGATTAGAGCATAATTTTTCTAAAAGAGAATATAAACACATTTATCTTTTCATTAAATTACAAGGCACATACATGCATGTTAATTATCTGAACCACTGATATTTCTTATGCTTAGATTTCTCTATTCTGCCTTCATTTTGTAATTTATCAAGTGTCCATATAGGTACTGCTGCTAGGCACGCAGAAAGACAGACATCCCCTTGAAACGTTACACCTTTTTTTCCAAAAAAGCGACGTTTATAGAATATATACTTATTTCATTTTAAACCAAACCCATTGCTGTAGAGTTGATTCCAACTTGTAGTGACCACGTAGGGCAGAGTAGCACTGCCCCATGGGATTTCCAAGGCTGTAATCTCTACGGGAGCAGATTGCTCCGTCTTCCTCCGTCGGAGCAGCTGGTGAGTTCGAACCACTGACCTTCTGGTTAGCAGCCGAGCACCTGACCACTGTGCCACCAGCTAGCCTTAAACTAATTAAATGTGAAATCTGTGAGTGAATGAATATTCCCATCAAACAAACATTTAAATCTGCCTAATTTAAAATAAAATGACTCTAATAGCTCTTTTAAGTATCATTCTAAATAATAACACATGCACATTGAGTTCCAGTATGAACAAGGGAAGAGATATTACTCCCCTCAAACACCCAAAGATACTCTTTAAAACCATACTCACTTTCACAAAATTCAGCAGGCTTGGACCATGTGAAATTCTGCAGGCAAGTTACGTTTCCAGATAGAGATTGGTCTTTCTGGTAACCCAAACGACACTCATATTCCACAGTGGAACCCGCTGGGAAATAATTCTGTTCGCTGTAAGGCTTTTTGAGGACCGCAAAGAGTAGCCTGGTTGGAACACCACAGCTACCTAAAAAGTAGTAACAAGAAGAACAACAAAAAGCAACAACATATCTTATAATCTATGCTGAATTACCTGGTCCTTAAATCACCTCTTTTTCTGTACTTATCTGTGCATATTTGGTATTTATCTATATTAGAATCGCTATGGCATCTACAGTGTATCAAGAGTATTCACATACATACTTTCATTTCCTAGTCACTAGAGGCCTATGAAATCAATTGGGTATGTAGATGTCACAATCCCCATTTCTCAGGTAAAAATCAAGCCAAATTCCAGATATACTGCTTGGCATAATTCTGTCACTCTATAAATGTTCGTTCCCCTACTGCCCTCCCCTAAGCAACTATACAGTACCGTGTGGTACAGGGATAGACGAGAACCAGTATTTCCGGACCCCAAGGCTAATGTACTGAACAACAAAAATAATAGTAATAATAATAGCTAATATTTATTGAATACTTCAAAATTTTTTTTAAACATAAACTCTTAATCCCCACAACAACCCTATGAAGACAAGGACTGGATAAGGATCAAGTGTACCTAAAAGTATTTACAAACTGTAAAAAGCTGAACAAAAGTGGATTTAGAAAGGCATGGTATAGTGAAAAGGGCATCGGATTTCTAGTCAAAAGACCCGCGTTGAAACCCTGGCTCCCCCATGCAGGAGCTGATCTTGAGGAAGTTACTGAACTTCTGAGAGCCTGTTTACTGTAAAGTGGAGACAAGAGTCCCTGCTTACCTCATGAGATTTCAGTGAAGTAATATATATGGAAGAGTTGAAAACCATAAAACCCGATACATGTGCAAAAGCTTAGATACTTCATCCTACTGCCTTTTATCACGGGTAAATTAAAAAAAAAAAAAGTTAATAAAAAGTGAAAGACTGTTTCACACCTGACTTCAAAAAATATTTGTCGCAGTTTCATTACTTACTGTGTCTTCCATTGGTTTCAAGTTGTTAAAAGGCAGGGATCAAGTCTTTTCTTTATTTGTATATCTCAACACTAACATGGGGCTATGTATATATTAATAGGTTCGGAGGTAGATAGAGCTTTTTAAAATGCCACCACAGAGTTGTGTTTGATAAGTCCTACTTTGCAAAATGAAATTTAAGAAAACAGATCACCTCTGCTATGTCCCAAGATAACTGCCAAATATATTTATATATAATTTACTCCCTAAACAATACCTATTGTTTATTTTCTCTGTTAGTCCGTTCAGGAGGTGCGGTGTCAGTAAAAACGCTCTTAATGAGGCAGGACCTATTCCGGGAAGTCATGTCTTCATTTAGCTGGAATGTGAGGTGCCAACAAGGTGTACCCTGGGGCTTAATAATGCTAGAAAACTATCAATTACCAGTCACTCCGAAGAGGCATAAAAATAAACTTAACAAGATGCATCCATTCCCATAACTTTTAAAACGAAAGGAAGAACTTACGATTACAAAATTCTGCAACTTCTGACCATTTGTTGTTAAGACAGACCACGGAGTCCGGCTTGCCAGGAACTTTTACAAAGCCTTCATTGCATTTGTATGTTACTGTCTCTTTTTCAGGGAAACTTGTAAGACCTCCCAAAGGGAGGTGGGCATTAGGTATATCTGGGGGAGGGCCGCAGTCACCTAGGGAGGAAAAAGCAGAACTGAACGAAATACCTCTTTTCAATTCATAGCAACATTCCTTTCCCAAAACGAAGGAGGCAGGCAACGATGGCTTCTGACGCACACATCACATTTCCATCCAGGGCTGAATGGACCCACCAAGAGCTTGCTAGACCTCATGTCTTGTCAATTGATTCAAGCCTAAAACAAGTCCAGAGCAGATAAATCCCTCCCCTTCATTATTTAAAAAAAGGGGGGAGGGGGAGTGTGGAATTTATCTAGTGTCCACGTAGATACTATTCCTAGGCATGCAGACAGAAAAATTACACCTCGAGAGGACTACCTGCAACCAAGGTTGTAGCGCCGAGGGTTGCGTACTATGGGCTCCGTGCTTGGAGGCGTGAGTAGTCAACTATTTGGCCTCCCATCATTAAAAGGAGAGACTACTGGGTATTTGAGGAAAATTGGCTCTATTCGAGCCCTCTCTTTCCACTTTCTTGTGTTTGGCTGCTCCGCAAACTCAGCGCGTTTCCCCAACCTTCCACGTCTCACCCCTAAAGCCAAGCCAACTGGGGTCCTGCACAGTAAGATCCTCAAGTGCTGATTAGCAGCGGAGATCCGCTTCCTTGTCCCAAGGGGTCGTATCACTAGGAGCCCTGAGCCTCAAAGGTAGAGGATTACAGGAACAGTTACCGATGCCCAAATTCCTCACCTCCTGAATCCCCAGACCCTCTCCGTCGTCACCGAGACGTACGGAACCCCTCCCACACGGTCTAAGGATTAACCAGCGCGCCTAGATGCCCGCCCCCAACTCACCCCGCACGGCCGGTGGGCACAGCAGCAGCAGGGTCACCCCGCCGAGGAGATGCAGCACTGCCGGGGCGATCCGCCGCGCTAGGCTCATGGCGCGTGGGCACAGGGACCCAGCCTTGAGGCTACGCGGCATCAGCAAGAAGCGGGCTGGCGCAACAGGCTGTAAGCAGCAGCGCCTAGCACCACACTCGAGTTAAATTTGCGCCTCGGGCGGGGCCGGGCTCTGAGTCACCAGAAGGGTGGGGTGAAGACGACTAGGGTGGAGAGCGGGTTTGCGCAGCCAGGTGCAGGGCGGGGCGAGGGCGAGGGCTCTAGAGGCACCGGCCTGTAACGGCCCTAGACTTGAGAAGAGGGGTCTAGGGCAGGAGGGGAGGAGTACTCTGCAGCCGGACGCTGGGCCTTTTTTTTTTCTCGCTGCTAGGGTTGGACTGAGATGAGCTGCCATCTGGAAATGCAAATATCTTTAAGGTTAAAAAAAAAAAGAAAACCTAGCGGAGCAGAGAAGAGGGGAGTGGTTCTGGTGGTGCAGGCTTCACTTCCTTGGAACCTGAACTTATTTAAGTGGACCTTAAGCGCGCTTGAGCGCTGCAAAGCCAGATGAGAGGTGCGGTGGAATTCACAGGTAGCGCATAAAGAGGGTAAAAACAAAATAAAATAAAACGGTTACCATGGAAATCAATTCCGACTTATGGTGACCCCACGTGTGTCAGAGTAGAACTGTGCTCTATATGGTTTTCAATGGCTGATTTTTGGGAAGTAGGTTGCTAGCACAGATTGCTAGGCCTTTCTTCCAAGGTGCCTCTAGGTGAATTCAAACACCCAGCCACCTTTTGCACCACCCAGGGGTGCTCCCTCAAGAGAAAGAACTGAGATATAGTGCCTACCCAGGGAACTTGGGCCTTCACTATGTCACGTGCCAACATGAAGATAAGAAAAACGAGGTAGTTTGTTGTCTCCTAGATCTCTTCACAACCAGGAGACAGGAAGTGTGAGATGAATCAAGACAACAGGTCCAAGAACACACCAGGGAATGAACATTGCTCACTCTGTGTTTGGGCGGGAATCCTTTCCTTGCCCAGGGTTGCCTTATATGCCAAGGACACCTAATGAGGTCCACGTGGGGGCCATTCTAGTCTGACTGCAGAGAGAAATTCACCACCCCAGTATCTGCAGGCATGTGTGGGGAGGAGGGCGAAGATAAAACAAAAACAGGCACCAACAAGATAAAGATACGTTTTAAGAAGAAGAAGTCTTGCTACAAGACCTTACGAATAGGGTCAGTAGGTTGCAAGGCTGGCTGCACTTCACAATCACATGGGGAGCTTGTAAAAATCCAGATGCTGAACATGCCCCCAGACAAATTAAATGAGAATCTCTGGGGATGGGACTGGGCATCAGGATTATTTAATCCTCTCCAGGTAATTGCATTATTCAGTCACGTTGGAGAACCACCAATTTACATGGTGCTGACCAAAAGGTCGGCAGTTCGAATCCACCAGCTGCTCCTTGGATACCCTTCAGGGCAGTTCTACTCTGTCTTACATGGTTGCTCATTTTGGCACAACTCGAAGAAACAGCTGCACAATCCATTAATAACTGGAATGTGGAATGTACCAAGTATCTGAATTCATACCAAGTATATGAATCTAGGAAGATTTGAAATCGTCCAAAATGAAATGGAATGCATAAACATCAATATTCTAGGCATTAGTAAGCTGCAGTGGACTGATATTGGCCCTTTTGAATCAGACAATCATATGATCTACTATGCTGGGAATTATAACTTGAAGAGGAATGGTGTTGCATTCATTGTCAAAAAGAACATTTCAAGATCTATCCTGAAGTACAGTGCTGCCAGTGATAAGATAATATCCATATGCCTACAAGGAAGACCAGGTAATACCACTATTATTCAAATTTACACACCAATCACTAAGGCCAAAGATGAAGAAACTGAAGATTTTTTAAAACTTCTGCAGTCTGAAATTGATCAAAAGTGCAATCAGGATGCATTGATAATTACTGGTGATCGGAATGCGAAAGTTGGAAACAAAGAAGGATGGGTAGTTGGAAAATATGACCTTGGTGATAGAAATGATGCCAGAGATTGCAGGATAGAATTTTGCAAGACCAGCAAATTCCTCATTGCAAATACCTTTTTTCAACAACATAAACGGCGATTATACACATGGACCTCACCAGATGGAAAACACAGGAATCAAATCGATTAGATCTGTGGAAAGAGACGATGGAAAAGCTCAATATCATCAGTCAGAACAAGGCCAGGGGCCAACTGTGGAACAGACCATCATCAATTGCTTGTATGCAAGCTCAAATTGAAGCTGAAGAAAATTAGAACAAGTCCACGAGAGCCAAAGTACGACCTTGAGTATATCCCACCTGAATTTAGAGACTATCTCATGAATAGATTTGACGCGGTGAACACTAATGACCCAAGACCAGATGGATTGTGAGATGACGTCAAGGACACCATACATGAAGAAAGCAAGGGGTCATTAAAAAGACAGGAAAGAAACAAAAGACCAAAATGAATGTGAGAAAGACTCTGAATCATGCTCTTGAACGTCGAGTAGCTAAAGCAAACGGAAGAAATGATGAAGTAAAAGAGCTGAGCAGATTTCAAAGGGTGGCTCAAGAAGACAAAGTAGAGTATTACAATGCCATGTTCGAAGACCTGAAGTTAGAAAACCAAAAGGGAAGAACAAGCTCGGCATTTCTCAAGCTGAAAAAAGTAAAGAAAAAATTCAAGCTTTGAGTTGCAGTAGTGAAGGATTCTATAGGGAGAATATGAAATGACGCAGAAGCATCAACAAAAGATGGAAGGAATACACAGAATCACTATGCCAAAAAGAATTGTTGACGTTCAGCCATTTCAGGAGCCAATGGTACTGAAGGAAGAGGTGCAAGCTGCACTGAAGACATTGGCAAAAAACAAGACCCAGGAATTGATGGAATACCAATTGAGATGTTTCAACAAACAGGTGCAGCACTGGAAGTGCTCACTTGTTTATACCAAGAAATTTGAAAGACAGCTACCTGGCCAACCGACTGGAAGAGATCCATATTTATGCCTATTCCAAAGAAAGGTGATCTAACTGAATGCGGAAATTATTGAACAATATCATTAATATCACACACAAGTAAAATTTTGCTGAAAATCGTTCAAAAGTGACTGTAGCAATTCATTGACAGGGAACTGCCGGAAACTCAAGCTGGATTCAGAGGAAGGCATGGAAGAAGGGATATCATTGCTAATGTCAGATGGATCCTGGCTGAAAGCAAAGAATACCAGAAAGATGTTCACCTGTGTTTTACTGACGGTGTAAAGGCATTCGACTGTGTGGATCATAACAAATTATGGATAACATTGTGAAGAATAGGAATTGCAGAACACTTAACTGTGCTCATGAAGAACGTGTACATAGATCAAGAGGCAGTCGTTTGAAGAGAACAAGGGGATACTGTGTGGTTTAAAGTCAGGAAAGGTGTGCATCAGGGTTGTATCCTTTCACCATACTTATTCAATATGCGTGCTGAGCAAATAGTCCGAGAAGCTGGACTATATAAAGAAGAACGGGGCATCAGGATTGGAGGAAGACTCATTGACAACCTGCTTTATGCAGATGACACAACCTTTCTTGCTGAAAATGAAGAGGACTTGAAGCACTTGCTGATGAAGATCAAAGACCACTGCCTTCAGTATGGATTACACCTCAACATAAAGAAAACAAAAATCCTCACAACTGGACCAATAAGCAACATCATGATAAATGGAGAAAAGATTGAAGTTGTCAAGAATTTCATTTTACTTGGATCCACAATCAACACCCATGGAAGCAGCAGTCAAAAAAGCAAATGATGCATTGCATTGGGCAAATCTGCTGCAAAAGACCTCTTGAAAGTGTTCAAAAGCACAGATGTCATTCTCAAGCAATGGTGTTTTTGATTGCATCATATGCATGTGAAAGTTGGGCAATGAATCAGGAAGACCAAAGAAGAATTAATGCCTTTGAATTATGGTTTTGGTGAAGAATGTCGAATATACCATGGGCTACCAAAAGAAGAACAAATCTGTCTTGGAAAAAGCACAGCCAGAATCTCCTGAGAGACGAAGATGATGAGACTTCGTCTCACATATTTTGGACGTGTTATCAGGAGGGACCAGTTCCTGGAGACGGACATCATGCTTGGTAAAGCAGAGTCAGTGAAAATGATGAACACCCTCAATGAGATGGATTGACAGTGGCTGCAACAATGGCTCAAGCATAAAAATGGTTGTGATGATGGCGCAGGCAGTGTTTCGTTCTGTTGTGCATGAGGTCACTATGCCAACCTGACAGCACGTAACAACAATAACATAGGGTTGCTATGGGTTGGAATTGACTCGATAGCAATGCGTTTGGTGGTTTTTTGGGTTTTGGTGCAGAGTAAAGGAGCCCTGGTGGCACAGTGGTTAAAGCGCTTGACTGCTAACCAAAAGGTTAGCAGTTTGAACTCACCAGCCACTTTGTGGGAGAAAGATGTGGCAGTCTAATTCTATAAAGATATGCAATCTTGGAAAGCAGTCGTACCCTGTCCTACAGGGTCTCTATGAGTCGGAGTCGACTCCACAGTAGTGGGTTTGGTTTTGGTTTGGGGTCAGAGTAAAGATCCACCCAACCCATCAATGTCCCTGTCATAAGCAGTATGACATTGATGGAACAGCTGGGTACTCATCTTCATGGAGTGTAACCCCAAGAACACGTCTCCCTTAATAATATATATGGGTCTAGTTAGTAGCACCCTAGCCTGGATTTCCTTCCTCCCCAGACACCTTACTCAGGTCAGGTGAAATTAAAAGACAGCAACAACTAAAAAACTGCTGCCATTGAGTTAATTCCAACTCATGGTGCCGCCATGTGTTACAGAGTAGAACTTCTCCATAGGGTTTTCTTGGCTGTAATCTTTATAGAAGCAGATTGCTAGGCCTTTCTTCCATATAGCTGCTGGGTGGGTGTGTTGGTTAAGATTGTGTGTCAAATTGGCTGGGCCGTGATTCTCAGTGTTTATATGTGATCACTCCCATGATTGAATATGCTGTGAGTAACCAATCAATGGAAAGGGAGTTTCCTTGGGGGTGTGGCATGCATCTGAACATAAGCAGACATTCT